GATCCCCCAGCACCACATGCCAGCCAGCCCCGCCCCCTGGTGGGCTGAGCTGGCCACACACACACACACACACACACACACACACACACACACACAAATGAAAGTCATTCTGGGCAAATTTATTGTGGATGGTAGTGCAAATAAAGTTTTCTGGGACACAGGGCACAGGAATTAAGCTGCTTAAAGTAGAAGTAATAGCTGGTGTGACACCCAGTAATAGTTGGAAGGGAAGGGGACATGTAGGTAAGACTGGGAAAGGCTAGTTACCTCCAAAAAAAGACACAAAAGTTGGCTCTTCATAATCTCACTTTTCATAAGGTCTTATCACTTTCTTTTGGGTATGATACTGGAGATCAAATTCTGTGCCTTCACACTGAGCTACATCCTAGCCCTTTTATATTTTTATTTTGAGAGATGGTCTTGCTAAGTTTCAACTCCTGCCTCAGCCTCCAAGAGTGCTGGGATTACAGACATGTACCACCACACTCAGTTTTACTTCACTTTCTAACCCAAACTTTATAAAATGTGGCTGTGCTGCCAAAAGGAATAAAAAATTCACCGTCTAGTCCTCAGACCTCTTGCATGTCAGCTACAGGCTGGATGGAATTTGATTTGGCCCCTGACCATCAGAGAAAAGGGGCCATATTAGTGTCATAGTTTAGGCCAATGGCTCTAGGTATTTTTGGGAGGTTCTTTGCTTTCTGGCATAGCAACATGTTTTATGTTCTTCGTTTGACAAAATCAATCCCTTAATTTTCATAACTTGTTTCCAGCTAATTTTATTTATCTTAACTATGGCACTTTATTATAAAGGAAGACTATTCCCTTGGAGTTTACTACTAACGTATAGGGACGTTCTCTCCTGGCTGCCCCCCCATGTGAATCCTTTGAGGGTTGTGCATCATTCCTCTGTGAATATCCCCTGGTATGAAGTAGATTGCCTGCCCATCAATAATACCAAGGTAGTATTTATAGAATAAATACTCTATATCCATTTTTATTATACCATAGATAAGTTTGTAATATGCATTTTGCCCACAAAAATTAAAATGTTTTCCATGTTTTCATAATTATTCATGTTATGATTATACATTGAATTTGTAACCAGTAATTTAATTATTTTCTTCATTGTGATACTTGTGATATTTTCCTCAGATCTTTGCTGTGTTAGGGCACTATTTTTACACAGATTAGTACTTCACAACATGACTGATGAGAGAAAATACTGGCCTTGACCTTAGCAGACCTGGGTTTGCATTACAGTGCTGTATTACCACATTCTATGTTCTATTATAGTTATTTGTGAATTTATCTTCCCTATTAACTTAGCTCGTAATGTTTCATCCTTAGGTTCCCCATTCCAGGGTAGACATGGTAGGCAGACAAATACTAGATTGAGTAAAGGTGAATAATGAATAAATAAATGGATAGATGGTACATTCTGGAGGAAGTTTTTTACCTAGTTCTTATTTTCATTGCTTAGATTCTTCATTTTATAAAGATCTTCTCAAATAGAAACTCCTTAAACTTTATTCATGTGTGGTGCTGGAATCTCTCCCAGGCTTCATGTATACTAGGCAAGCCCAGTGAGCTATACTTCTGGCCTTTGATGATAAAGAATTACAATTTATTATAATATTTATGCCTAATTATATACAAGGTTTGGGTCTATTGATAAACTAGTGGAAAACCTTGTACCATAGAATTTACAATTTAGTTGGAAAGTGGCTGTTAAGCAAAAAATGCTAAATGTCACTTTAGGGGGTGATAAATGCTATGAAAAGGGAAATTGTGTTGAATACAGTAACCATCTTGAATTACATTTGTGCTGGCCTCCTCTCTCCTGGCAATGGGAATATTAACTGGCCAAAGATAGAACCTAACACGAGCTAATACCAACAGCTTCTGTGTCTTGGATCTAAAACCAATCACAAAGGTTTCTGATAATCCTGGAGCAGATCTTAAAGTCTGAATTCAAATCAGGTTTACCAACCAACCCTAGACTTTTGCCTAGGCTCTGGTCATAGTATCTCTAATGGCCAGATTTTTAGAATCCTGTCGGGTCCTTCTATATGTTTTATGTTCAACCCCATTAATCCTAGATCCAGATGTTTTGGACCCCGAGAGGAAATTAAAAATGGTTAAGAATGTAGCCTTGGGGCCAGGGAAATGGCTCAGTAGAATAAGTGCTTGCCTGGCAAGCAAGTGCAAGAGCCTGAGTTCAATCCCCAGTTCCACAAAAAAAAAGAACATAGCCTTAAAAAAAAAAGAATATGGCCATTGGAATCAGACTTCTAAGATTCAAACCCTAGTTCTACTCTTGGTTATATTGGCTTAAAGTCACCCATCATCTTTAGGCCAGTTTTCATATCCATTCATGGAGATACTAGTAGTACCCACTTGGAAATAGTGAAGGGCTTAGCACAGTGCCCAACAGTGTTAATGACATTAATAGTAGTAGTTGTTTTTACTATTCATATTATTGTTCCCTAGAGTCAATCTGACTTAGATTTTAGAAAGCCCTAGCATTCATCTAGCCACATTATATAAAATAAAGCCAGGCGTGGTGGCACATGCCTGTAATCCTAGCACTCTGAAGACTTAGGCAGGATGATCCTTGCAAGTTCAAGACCAGCCTGAGCTACAAAGTGAGCTCAGGGCCAACCTGAACTTCATATCAAGACCCTGTCTCAAAAAGACAAAAAATAATAATCAAGCCACGGTTATAGCTCAGTGGCACAGCACTTGCCTGGCAAGTGTGAGGTCCTGAGTTTGATTCCTAGTACCAAAATAAAAATAAAATAATCAAACATTTATATAAATAGCAGAGGGGTGGAATTCAGTCCAAAGTCACATACAACTATACTGAGGTCAGGGTAAACTGATAGTCCACCATGAATTTACTGTTAGGCTAATACAAGTTTGACTGTAAGAAAAATGAATTTTATAAAAAAATGAAATCTGCAGCAAGTGGAAAAATGTTAAGAAATAAGTACATTGGCTCAGTGACTATTAAAGGTAAGATAGTGAGGGGGGCAGAAAGGCTTAGCACTCCCAAGAAGAGGGAGAGTCTTGAATATTTTCCTCATGTATTTCAAATTTTATCAGTACAAACTGTTCTTGTTCTGAGATAGTTCTCATCTTTGCTTTTAGGAGATCATAGTATGTTATGGGAAGCCGATGAAAATACATGAAAAGCTCCCTAACACTGCAGTGACATCTGCTCTCAGATCTCAGACCATTACAGATGACTGATCATAGGGCTGATGGTCATTTTGGTACAGGTTGAGAGTACAGTGGCTAGAATGTGTTTTGTAAGCTAACTTAAACCATTTATGACATTTCTGTCACCAAGTTTGGTGGTGGTGGTGGTGTTGGGGTGGTGGTGGTGGTGGTGGTGGTGGTGGTGGTGGTGGTGGTGGTGGTGGTTGAGACAGGCTGGCCTTGAACTGTCAGTGATCCTCCTGCCTCAGCACCAGGGGTCAAACTCAGGACCTTGCACTTGCCAGGCAGATGCTTATGCCACTGAGCTGTATCCCTGGCTTCCTGTCACCAGGTTTTGAACAAATTTCTCTGATACTAACCATTGTCTGGATGGATTATTGAGGATTAAGGGTAACAAAATGGACATTGTCCTTTGGCCTGACAAGAGCTGCTGAGAACAGGTACCAGGCCCTTGTTGCTCCTTCTTGAGGAAGACACACTATTTTGTTTATTAACAGCACAAGATCTCTTTAAAGAGAAAAATAAATTTCTTTTTTTCTGTATTTAGGACAGGGTCTACAAGGTCTCACTATGTAGATTAGACTCATAGTGATTCCCCTCTTTTCATCTGGGATTACAGACAAATTAACATCTCAGTGTGCCCTGGGGGTGGGACCAGCACAGCACTCTGAACCCCAGCCACTGTGCTCTGCCTAAGCAGGCACTTTAGTCTCCTGGAAAAAGAAACATCTTAATTCATAGATTAGTTTCTGATGTTCTCCAAAATTTTTATTCCATCTACCCTATATGGTCCCATCTCCATCCCACAGAAACTCCTTACAAACTTGGATGTGTAAGAATAGTATTTTAGAGGCTGGGGAGATGGCTCAGTGGAATAAGTGTTTCCCTGGCAAGCGCAAGGGCCTG